AATTTTGATGTTTTATTTTCTTAAGATTATAGATAAGCGAGAAAGGGTGATAAGTAGCAAACTGGCATGTGGGTAATCCATGCCTTCTTCACATTCCAATTTATATTTCCGAAGCTCAAAATATTCTGAAACACCTAAACAACATGTGGCAAATAGAAGTTTCTTTCAAAACCAACAGTTCTGCAAAACTGAAAACAATCTAAATGTCCATCAAGAGTAGAATGGATTCATAAATGGTGTTTACTCATACAATGGGATAATACTCAGCAATAAAAACAGAATGACCTACTGGATAAAACTTAACTGCATTGTGCTGAATGAGAGAAGTGAGAGACAAAAGAGCATGTGTGATTCCATTTATGTGGAGTTCTACCTGAACCACTTATCTGAACTAATCTCTAGGAAAAAGAAAATCAATCAGGCTTCCCTGGGAGGATAGGGGAGTGAGAGTGACTGGGAAGGGGCACCAGGGGACTTCCTAAAATGGTGGGGTTGTGCTCTATCTTGATTGGGGTGATAGTCACACAGGTGTATACATTTGTCACAACTCATCAAACTGTATAGTTAAAATCTGTGCATTTACTGTGTATAGATTATACCTCAAGGAAGAGTGTATTTTATAGCCTTTCTCTATGAGGCATTCTTCTAAGTGCTGTACATGATGTAACTTATTTAATTCTCACAAAAATATGGGAGGGGAGATGTTTGTTTGCATTTTAGAGATGGGGAAACCAAGGCACACAGAGGTTACATAAATATCTAAGGTAATGGAGCCAGTGTTTGGGGCGAGGATTTGAACACTAACAGTTCAGCTCCAGGGCTGGACTCGTAGCTGCTGAATTATACTTCCATACCTGCCAGAAGGAGCAACCAGCTTGTTGTTTTCCATTTCCTATTAAGAGCTTCTCCAAATGTGATAGAAGAACAATTGCTCACATAAGCAGAAAGAACCTGGTTATTTAAAATACGCCTATTTATGTTGGGTATTGGGATGCTTTTAATGATTCCATTTAGCTTCAAAATAGACAACACTACTAAACTGCAGGCTGGCTTTGTAGATAATCAGGAAGGCCAGTTTCCTGAACTGTGTTTGCTGATCATTGTATGACACAGTTAATGTAAAACAAGCAAAATCATGTGCCTGAGGCTGCCAAGAAATGGAAGGTGAAAGTGATTGAGGCACTGGGCTTGAAAGAAGACTGATCCACTCCAGTTTGATGGTTGTAACTTATTGTATTGTTTATAACATGTAGAGAAAAATTAATAGTGACACCAAAGTGTCAACTGTGGCCAACTATGGGGAATGAGATTGAGGTGACAGTGAACCAATTAACTGTTCCTGCTTATGTGAAGGTTGGCCATTTTGCTATATTCACTCATTCATTCATTGAATAACATTTACTGAATGTCTACTGGGTGCCAGATTCTAGGTACTGGAGATACATAGGAATTAGTAGGCTAGTGGTCAGATAGACATATGGGCAAACAATCATGGAATGAGGCAGGCACTCTGCACTTGCAGTGATTTAGAGTGGACCAGGGAATACTACCCTAGCTCTGCTTTTACCCATGGGTTTGGTGGCTCTACATGGCTGGGGGTGAGAGGAGTTGAAGCATTTCTGAATGATCTAGGGTTCTACAATCTTATTTTATGAATATTACCAGAAGCACGCCCAGTGCATGGACGATGTAGGGCTGATTCTACATGTCAACAATTTTTCCTAATCCTGGTTTCTCATAGTAAAGGTATTGATTGTCAGTTGCCAGAGGACTACATATCAAGGTTGTCATTTGAGTGCTTTTCTCTGTTCCATGGCTACAGGCTGATCCCTAATATCAGTCACTGTCTTCACATTTTGCAAAAGGCATAATGGGTAAGAGGGCTGGCTTGGTGCAGATTCTTTGTTTACTTTCTAGAGTCTCTTGAAATGAAATTGCCAAGTAGCCCACTAATGACCAGGGTTGAAAGCACTCACTCTACATCCAGGGGGGAAGGCACATTGCCTTTGTAATGTAAAGTATAATTATTATCAGAAGCTTGTGCTGTCTTCACAGCCAGAGAAAGAATGAGTAAGCACACACTTTTCTTCTTGCTTTAGTTTAAAACAAAGTAATTTTTAATTAATTTTTTATTAAGAGGTTATAAAAAGTAGCTTTTCTCGGGACCATATGGCTCATTAGCACCATATGGTGCACCTGTACCAGACATTGCTTCTTTAAGTCCTGGTCTCCTGCGTGTTTAAATGTGAATGATTGCCTCCCCTTCCCCTGCTCCAGTACACCCAGGGTAGTTTAATCTTTCCTGGCACACCGTGTCCTTCAATACCTTCCTTATAAGCATGCCTGATTTTGGAACCATTCTGTAATTGGAAGTCAGCCTCACTGGGCAAGTCCACGTCTTAAAGCTCTTCATAGTAGCCTACCAGCCTAATTAAACTACAGAAATATAAAAGCAATTAGTTGGAAGCATTTGCAAAATGAATGCATGTTAATAACCTGTTTAGTTACAGAGACCTTTTCACTCAGATCTAACTGTGTGGATGTGCTGATTTTACCAATGGAAAAAAAATCAAAGAACATTCTCCATATCCCATGACTCCAATCTATTCTTTGCTGAGACCCTAAGGCCTCTGCAGGCTCAGAGAATTTGTTTACACCACAGTTTCTGGATTGGGGAGAGAAATGCCATTTCTGCCTCCCTCTCCTTTTGCAAACCAATGGAAAACAACAAGGAGGATAGAAGCAGTAAAGCAAACTTTCATCTTCACTGATATTAGGAAAAATTCATATCAGGACCCATAATACTGTTTGAAAAAGGGTTTTCAGATTAGTGAACACTGTACCAGTGTGAAGAGAGACACAGAGAGAAGGCTGGGGGCTTCAAATTTCCTGGGAGGACTAGGCAAACTACAGAATTCTTCAAAATAGATGTCACAGCCTTGGCTTGAAACATGTTCTGGGTGAGAAGACTGACGGTAACATGCTGTCAGCCCTGAGTGGACAACAACCGAGCAAACACACAGGAAACACACAGATGGATGAATATGTTTGTAAAATATGACCTGAGCATGAAAAAGTAAAGAAAAAAAGTACAGTGATGTTAAAAAAAAATCAAGTTATTTAACCTGGGTTACCTGTGTGTGGTGGGCCAGGGGCAGGAGAGAGGAGTAGGGAAGCAAGTAGAAAGAAAATAAAATGTCTAACTCCTTCCCATCTCCAGCATGTATATTATCTCATTTATGTAGAATTGTACACACACACACACACACACACACACAGACAGTAGGAGGAAGGGAAGGATAGAGCTATATATAGTATATATAAGGAATTGTAGGAATTTCCAAAGTGTATTGCCAAGTGAAAAGAAGTTGAAGGTGATACGTAAAGAGGCTCATTCTATCTGTGTAGAAACAACAAATTCCCCATATTCTTATATAAGTTTGGAGAAAGGTGCATTTGCTAATTAATAATAATAATCTCAGGGCTGTGTGGTACTAGAAAGAGAGCTGGGGTGAACAGGGTAGGGAGAAAGATGTGTGTGGGTGTATAATATCATCACTTTTAATTACAAATGGATATTACTTTTTGATGAAAAAGAAGAAAATAGTAAAAGAAGGACAGTAATTGTTTTCCTTGATATAAATTAAAAAAAAAAAAAAAGAGCTCAGAGAAGAGCTAGAAACATCCAAGGAATGGTAATGGTAATAGACAGAATTTGAAAATTAGTTGGCCAGAGAGGCACACTAGAAACAGCAAAGAGATTCTCTCAGAAAGAGACTCTTAGGAATAAAACAGAATAGAAAAATGCAGAGTTAAAAGGAGAAAAAAAGAGTTAGAAAAATAATAGCAATAGCAGACAAAGGAGAACCAACATATGAATAATTGGCATCTCTGACACACTATGCCAAGGCTTTTATGAAGGCTGACACCAGAACACTGAGAACAGGGGGAAGAGATACGTCCATATATATTCCTAAAAATAAAGTCTAAATACTGAAAGGACACATTGAGTGCCAAGAAAAAATTGATACAAATGATCAATAATTAGAAATATCCTAGTGTACTGTACTTCAGAGATAAAGAGTCCTTTGGGCATTTAGCTCCCTCCTTCACTACCACCATCATCAAAAAAAAAAAAAACCTCAACTATTTACACGTGAGTTTAAAAAAATTACTCTTGTGGATGAACAAAAAGAAAAACATATAAATTACTTAAAGTATTCCAAAAGCTTTTTCACATGCTTTCTTTTGGTTGAATCACCTTTTAATCCAGTCATTACTGTTTGTGTTTTCTCACAAAATGTGGTCTTTATGCTTTTAAGGGTATGGATGATGAGTATTTCATTAAAGTGCACCCCACCATTGTTTCTGGAATTTTCTTCTGAGACCATTAAGACTCAGAACCCATTGAGGTCTTTGTTTGATACCCATTAAGCAAGTTTGATGCTGATACTCTTCTGGAAGTGTCAATGGAAGGTTTGCAGATCTCAACCAGGACTTATTTTTCTTCTTCCAATGGTCTTTATGTGGCTTTTTGACTCAAGAGTTGCACCATTTTCCAGTCTTCTCACTAGTAACATAACCAAATTTGCACATGAATAGGCTTACAGTTATGCCCTATAACAGGTTGACTTCTTGAGGGAGATATGGATATTATGTACCTATATGGTATATCATATTATTTCTTCAAAGTATTCACTATCTCTATGACAGGATAAATCCTCTATGGCCATTGACTCATGCTTGTCACATGACTAGCTTTGGATAATGGAATGTAGTGGAAGTGAAGGGTGTCACTTCCTGGCAGAAGTTTTAAGAGCCATCATGTGGTCCCCACCTTTCTTTTCCTTCTCCCATAAGACCAACATGCCCCACACAGGGTCTGCTTCTTTAGCCTGGGTCCTGAAAATGAAGACAACATGGAGTATGGCCAAAATTGACCCTCAATAAACACATAATATGAGTGAAAAATAAACTTGTAAGTCACTAAAGTTTTTGAATTATTTGTTACTGCAGCATAGTTCAGCTTAAGCTGACTGGTATAACTCTAAGCACATGGTATTTAAAACCTAGCTTTGGGGTCCTGCCTGGTGGCACAGTGGTTAAGTGCATGTGCTCCGCTTCAGCAGCCCGGGGTTCGCAGGTTTGGATCGGGGGCGCACACCGACGCACTGCTGTCAAGCCATACTCTGACGGTGTCCCATATAAAGTAGAGGAAGATGGGCATGGATGTTAGCCCAGGGCCAATCTTACTCAGAAAAAGGAGGAGGATTGGCATTGGATGTTAGCTCAGGGCTGATCTTCCTCACACACACACACACAAAACCCTCACAAAACCTAGCTTTGGAATAGTCTAGGTGCTCTCCTGAAAGACTCCTGATTTCTGCGGGACCTCCTCAGGGCAGGTAATGAGTGGGTGATATGTGACTGGTCCTCCTCCACGTGAGATTCAAGTTTAGGCTATTTCTGGTCAGCAAGGGTGAATGCAGAGAGACCTTACCTGAGGTCTCTTTTTAAAATGAGTCACACCAGACTACATAGAGACTCACACTAAGTGGGTACAGCTGAGTCACAGCCTAGTTGTGAGCCATCATTTGTACCTGTGTTCTGGTTAAATGTCCTGAAATTCTAAGGTCAGAAAACATTTTTGGGACTGGAGACAATACCTCACTTTGGGACACAATAGTAGTTCTCAGTGGGGAGGGGGGTGAGGAGAGGAGGAAGATGCTCTACATCTGAAGTGTTCACTCCTGTTTTTCTTCTTTCCAGTAAAAGCTGATTCCATGATGGAAGTATCCATCTGTGGAGAATAGTTTTTTTTTTCTCCCCACAGCAGAAAGTTCCGTACCTGTACCTAGAGTTCTGTTGAAGAAGTGGCTGAACTCAAAATTAATTAGGGATCCAACTGCAGTTCAGTGTTGATGAAATCAACAATTCGCAGCAGTTCTTCAAAGAATACAGGCTGTGGTTTTCTCCTGGGATGACCTCCCCGGGACCCTTGGCAACAGTGCTGATAGAAAGTGGAATGAAACAGTTAGCTGAGCCTTAGAAGATGGAAACAGTAGATGAGCAGAAGATGACACATTAAAAATAGCATAAGACACGAGCTGATTTCTCCCCTTACGTTCAGGTTAGAGTGGGTTAAGGACAGAGGCACCAAAGAATTAGTTTTGATGCTCAAATCCTGTTTGGCCTCAAGGACTGCCCCTATTTCCTTCAGAATAAACAAAGAAAGGGTAGAATTAATCCTTATAAAACACTTGCACATTACGAAGAGCAGATGGGGTGGGGATAGTGATTTTGCAGATAGAAACTGTATAGGGTGGGGGTGGCCAGCATTGGGCACTGGTAGCCCCTCATCCACCATAGCCCCTCACCATCACCATGTTGTCAGGACAGCCTGCATTGCTTGATCCTCTTGAAAGGGTGGCAGCACCTAGTAACTAGTACTAGAATACCACAGTAGTAGTTAAGGGTGTAGGTTCTGTGGGCAGAAAGACCCAGACTTTCTAGGGTCTTTCCATCTTGACTGTGCTTGCGCTCATTTTGCTTGGGTCAGTGACATAACCTCCCCAAGCCCTGATTTTATATAAAGCTTAAAAAAGCAACAGTGCCTAACTTACACAGCGTTTGCAAGGTGTAAGTGAGCTAATGCACACCAAGTGCCTAATTCACAGCGGGGGCATATGAAATGCTTGAGCGACACTAGATAGTTATGGTTCCTAGTCTTTGCTGAGAAAAGTCCAAATGAAAGGTGATTAGAATTGCCACACAAGTTCTTATATTTAAATAAAGTAAGTGTTATGAAGTTATAAAAATAAGTGGAAGGGGTCTTTAGGTCTAATTTTTAAATTAATAATGGACCTAAAGAAGTTATAAACAAGAATACAATACCTCCTCAACACACTCTGGCAACACTACATCGGTTGTGTTTTTAGGTGAGCTGGAGCTGAAGGCGTTCTCTAGAATGTGATGGCAGTTGGTGTCTACAGGAGTGCTGGAGAGTATGCCTAGAAGTGGAACAGAGCGCCATTGATTTTATTGATTAACGAAGTCACTGAACTCTCCTTCTGTTCTTAGCTTCTCTACCACGCTCCACACATTTCATTTCACAATATGCTTAACCGCGGCTCTGCCTCTCAGCTCTCTGCACAGCACATGCTGCATATGCGGGTTGGAGGCACTGCCCCCCTGAAAGCTGCGGGCACAGGGAGACAGGACACAAAGACCGGAAGCAGTACCTGCGATGCAGGCTGTCATGAAGCTGGCAATGGTCCCTGCAATCAGAGCTCTCATGGTCCCTGAGGCGATGTCACGCTTTCTCGAAGGAGCCGTGGATGCTGGGATACATGGAAGCAAGTAAGAAAGGTTAATTTGGAGACTTATTGATTAGAATTCCAAATTCCCAGCCTCTGAGAATTGTTCTGGGGCTGGAGTCTCAGGTCAGCTGACTTTTCTTTTTTTTAAACTTAGCTGGGAAATTCAAGATTCAAGAGCTTAGTGATGAGTTCCACATCCAGAGAAGTTTTCTGGTGTGGGAGGAAAAGAAGTTTGTCCACAACCAAAGGCCCAGAGGCTTCCATTCTCTACAGAAGAAACAAGTCCTAAGTTTCATCCAAAGGGCTCGCATGTCGAGGGCTGGGCAAGGCAAATGCATCGCAAGGGAGGATCCCAAACATCTGCCACTCATCTGTCACCATCCACTTCTGTGGCCATGGCAGACATTACCAATTAATCACAGCATTTTCCCACTTAACTTCCACTGGACCTCAGAATCCTTCTCCAGGTGGCCATTATAAATCTGTTGGAACTGGCGTGCAAAGTGGAACCTATGTGTCACCCCTGGCTGGAGAAGCACCAGTACATTTGGGCAAATTCTTCCTGATGTTAGCTTGGGTCTACACAGGAAAACTATATTGCAGAGCAGGGATAAAAAATAGACCCCAAAGGATTTACAGCTCTTGCAAGGCCTTCTTTTCCTGATATGAATAATGTCACAGAGCAACATGGAGATCTGAAGCATGTTTACATCACATCTGTTGTTGAAGAATATTCTTTTCACTTACTGAGTGTGCTGACCACTAGTCCTAGGGAATTGACACTGCCAAAGCCACAGAGAGTGTTAAGTGGCAATTGTCTTAGAACGAATCTGTAAATAAGCATAAACACACAGATGCATGCATGGTGCGACCCAGCTTAGTAAATCTGACATCCTAACCGGTCTTCCTATTCTGGCTACGGGATCAATACTCACAAATAAGTGTACAGTGCATGGCGTCAAACACTTGTTGCTTCCTAGACTCTTTTCTCCATCTCCCTTTGAATTTTGATGGAGAGAAAGGGGCTGTGTGGATTCAAAGATCTCTACAAAGGACTTGGAATTGGCAGTCTTGGCCTCTACAAATGTTACTTTCTGCTCAATGACAACTGTTAATATTCAATGAGACCTGGCCGCCTGCTATAATGTGCCAGGCACAGGACCAGCTGCTGAAGACACAAAATTGGTCCATCATTCACATTACATTTATTTGACAAAGGACTTATTCAGAATGTATAAAGAACTGTTATAACTCAATAATAAGAAGACAAGCACCCAATAAATGAATAAAGAGATTTCACAAAAGACAGGCAAATGACCAATAAGCACATGAGAAGATGTTCGCCAGTGCTGGTCACCAGGGCAATGCAAGTTAACACAATGAAATACCCCTAGACACCCACTAAAATGGCTAAAAACACGGACAACACTAAGTGTGGGTGAGGACGTGGAGCAACTAGAACTCTTGTACATTGTTGGTGAGAATGTAAACTGACACAGCCTGTTGGTAAAATACAAGCATGACAGTTTCTTTTCAAGTTAACATCCACTGCCTGTAGGAGCCAGCAATCCCACTCCTAGGGATTTTCCCATGAGAATAAAAACAAATGCCCACAAGAGGACTGCACGTGGATATTTATAGCAGCTTTATTCCTAATAGTACCAAACTGGAAATGACCCAAATGTTCTTCTACAGGCAAACAGATAAACAAATTGTGGATATCCATAAGACAGAATACTACTCTGTGACAAAAAAGGAAAATAACTTATACATGCAAGAACATGAAGGCTAAGTGAGTCCATTCACATGATATTCTAGAAGACGCTAAACTAATCTATCGTGAAAGAAAGATCATTGGCTGCCTGGGACTGGGTCGGGGTGGGAGTGTGGGCTGTTGACTACAACTGGCCATGAGGAAGATTTTCTAGGTGTGATGGAAATGTTTTATATCTTGATCGTGGTTGTGGTTACACAGGTGACACATTTGTCAGAACTCACATGTACACCAAAAATGGGCCTTTTTTATATGTGAATTATACTTCAGTAAAAATGAAGTAATGTGAAAGGAATTACATTAGCAAAAAGGAAGCTCACAGGTATCACAGGAGCCCTTTCAGTCTGGCTGTGGTGTGTGCTTGCCTTTCTTTTTTCCTCAGCTCTGACCCTCCCATAGGAATGTTAGGTGCCCCCTTGGAAGTAGGAGAATGGACTGTGCTCTCACAGGGCCCTAAGAAGATGGAAGGTGAATTCGTTGAAGTGTGAGTGTGGCCCTCCACCTCTATTCTGAAGTTAAGAGGTGCTGCTCAGGCCAGATAGTTCTTTCTCAGGTTGAGGGACTGACTACAGGAAGCCTGGAAGATCCAGTGCACTTCACTGTTCACCAGAGGCACAGCCAATCTGGCAAAAGAATCCACACAATTGAGGCAGTAATTGTTTTCCCCATATCCTGAAAAATCTATGATTTGGTTCAAAGAACAAACCAGGCCAATGCTACATTCAAAACTGGTGGTGCCTTTTTTTTTTCTTTCACTAACTGGACTTTTTAAAGCTCACACTCAAGACTCAAGTAGTCCTGGTAAGTTTTTGTTGATAAGGCCCCTTTTCTTTTCATGGTTTCTCAGAACTCCTTTGTTAATGTTGTCATTCAGCATGCACATAGCAGGAGGAAAAAATATTTCAAGTATTTGAGCAGTCCACTGTTTCTGGAAAAGCTCGTCCTCGTCCCCTGCTCTGTCTAGTGCTTTTCATTTAGATCTATTGGCTTCAAAAACAGGCAAGCTTATTAAGAAACCATGGGGAGGGAGATGGCATAAAGCACTAGAGACTCCTCTTTCTCCTTTCTGGGGATCTGTGGAGGAGGGCACACAGACGTGGCCACGCAGGGTTTTATAATAAGAGGAAAAGGAGGCTGGGATGATTCCCCTTTGTCTTTGCCCATAAATGTGCAAGATTACGTAATGGAAAGAACTGCACTAGGAAATTAATAATACATCCCAGCTCTCCTTGCCCATGAGAAAAGATCCCATATGTATAAGGACAGGCATTGTAGTACTTCCAATAGCAAAAAATTGGTAAGAGTGTTCGTCAACAAGGGACTGGTTAAAGTAAATTATGGTGTGCTCATACAATAGAATACTATGTCACAGGCACTGGTACAGAAAGGCATTCAAGATTTGCTGTTAATAACCAAGATCAAGGCTAAGAACAGTGAGCATAATATGGTACAGGGAGAGGAGCTGAGTGGCAGAAAAGTAGAGAGGATGACTCACTTTTCCCTCTATTCCTTTTTATAGCTTTTGAATTCTGTAGCATGAAATGTATTACGTGTAAACAAACAAACATGCGAAGTATTATCTTTACTCTAAGCAAGAGAAACTGGAGTAATAAAGTGCGACATAGACCTTCTGACCTCTTACCTTAGATGGAGGTCAGCAGTGGGCATAATTCAAAGGATAACACTGGATTTTTGCCTCATGGACCCAGATCTTATGCTTCAGTCATGTGGTACCTTTTCCAGGAGATTATTGGAACATCCCCACCACTTCTTGGTTGGTAAACAGAAATTGCAGGGACTCATCCCTATTTCATTGATTAGAAATGAGAAATTGTGAAAAACAAAATGCTTTTCCCATCGTGACCCAACAATAACAGAAGCCATTGAGCTCAAATTCCTAAACGTCCTCTGAGCTCCTGCCCCTGGTTGGGCTCGCCCCCAACCCGAATCAGCTCCACTGTCCTGTCTCTATCCTCTTAACCTGCTCACAAACCTGCTCAGCACTGCCAGAACTGTGAGCTTGCTTTGCTCATTAACAAAACTATTTTCTCCTGTCAACTGGCAGTTGGGGATGACAAACATTTCACTTAATTTAGCCTATTGTTTACTTTTCACAGGGAAGGTGGTTTGTGGCGGCATCTAGACAATGACATTCGGCCAAGCCCCACTGCGTGGTCAGCTGAAGAATGAACATTGGAGAAACGGGAGACCTACAGAGACACTGTTCATATCAGAAGTGTGGGCCAAATGCCCCTGATGATAACATACAATTCAGCACTCTCCTGGAGTATGCTGTTATTCTGTGCAATACGTGGGAGTAAATTTGCATATTTGGTCTTGGGAGGCTGGGAGAGTGGTGGGCTGTTCAGAGGTGGGCAGTCTCAATTAGAAGCTTGGGCAGCATGCTTCCCCTGCCCTTTCCTTTTAAAGCCCAATATGTGCTTAAGACATTAATTCCAAATGGATTGTTTCAACGGGTAATGGTGGCGGTCAGAAATGTTCACCATTTCCCTAAGAGTTTCCATGTGTGGCAATTCTGTTCTTTAGGAAAATAGAAGGTAGAAACTCAGCTGCAAATATGGCCTAAGTAATAGCCTCTCCTGAGTTCCCTTATCCCATTCAAGGCCAAGCAGACATGAGCATCTCCTTGCAGGCTATTGACCTGAAGTCCTGACATAGTTATAGGGTGCTTGTCTCAAAGGTTCAGACCAGATATGCTGAGCTCCTTCTCTTCCCTCATGTACTTGGAGAGCAGCGATTGTGTCTCACCACTGCTTTAGCATGTCCAGGCACTATGTTGCATTTAGGCGGTTTCTCAGAGTTCATAGAATTCCTTAAGGTGAAAGGAAGAGCCCTTCATGATCATTAGACTATGAGTCCCATGAGGGCAGAGGACTCATCACTTGTTCAATGCTGTGGCCTCAGTACCTAGGTACATCGCACACAGAAGGCATTCATAAATGTTTGTTGATGGATTGATTCCAGCTCATATGACTCTGGGTTTGGATCCACAGAGCTCAACGGTAAATGATCACAGTGGTAAGGATTAGCTGTGCTTCTCCACACACATACACAGACAAGGATTAAGTCAACATCACTGAAAATTATGAGGCACTATGTTCATTATGAGCTCCATGAACTCTGGCATTTGGGGTCTGTATTGTTCCTCAGTATATCCCAGGTGCCTGGCCTGACACACAGAGGCATCAGTAACTATTTGATGAGTATACATATGTGATAAAGAAGTGCACTGAAAAATCAAAATATTTACTCACAGACAATACTGTTGCACACCATTCACAAATTTGGGTCCAGCCTCTTCCCTTAAATACATCAATTTTGAGAGGCACTCATAGGCCACAAATTCACTGAAGAAAGTCTTATAACCTATGAGTTTGGCAACCATGAAGCTGTCTTGCCAGTCCACTCCCATCATGAAGGAAAAGAGCATGAAGATGTAGGAGCATATTATCTACAAAAACCAAAAATAGACACTTTATTAGAGTAGTGATTTGCTCCCATTCTTCTCCCTCAACCTCATGACGAGATTGTTCCCACCCGCTCTGTGTCTCCTGTAGACACAGAAATCCCTTCACATGCCTTGTCCATCTTTATCCATTAGGAGTCAAGGTTGGAATCGGGTCATTTGAAGTAACCTGGATTCTCAGGATGGAGAGAATGACTGTACATTGGGGGAAGGAGGGTGACAGGAGACAGAGAAAGAGGGTGGGAAGATGGGGGATACATGATAGGTTTGTGCCTTGTGTCAGAGTACAAAGGAAGGCAATTCACAAACCCATTTTATTTTTAAACAAAGATAGGAAGAAACAAAATGGAGGAGACATATGATAGAAATATACCTCAAAACTCAGTTGTGGGTAGTCAAACATGTTTCCAAACCAGGACAGGGCTGCATCCACAAAAGACAAGAGGGCCATGAAGGCAATCAGATTCACAGCGATGTGTGCCACCAGGGAGATGGATGAGGATGCTCCCTGTGATGCGGCTTCTAGGAGATTCCTCAAATCACTTATGAGAAAATAGCAATGGCAGAATTACCAAGTTGTCAGTGGATGGACATCACAGGGGTAGATGTGGGGTAATCAGAGCTCATTTGGATGGAGAGAGAAACTCTCAGGCCCACGCCTTGGTCAAAATACTTACCTGAATTCCACGAAATCATGACAGGATTTATAATTGTTGATTGTAGGTGATGGGCATATGGCTGTCTAACTGTTATACTACTCTTTTAATTTGGGGGAATTTATAATTAAAAAATTGGGAAAAGATAAAAATATTATAGGTTTTAAAAATTATATTTAATTAAAAGTAGCTAATATTCAATGGTAGCTACTAATAATTCAAGGAAGGCCTGAATATCCATCACCTAAGAAGTGGAATGTCACCCTCACCTTTGAGTCCCCTCCCTGCCATGCCCTTCCTTAATCTCATCCTCTTCTCTCTAATCTCAGAGGTATCTGGCTCCCTAGAAGTTGCTTATCATTCCCTTTCTTTTCAATTTCCCTACATGCCTGCATCTCTAAATAATATGTTGTGTAGGTTTAC